CTGGGGAATTCTGGGAGTTGAAGTCCACCCATCTTAAAGTTGCCAAGGTTGAGGAACCCTGCCTTATGGGGCCTTTGCAGAGACCCTTGTCCTCCTAGCCAGGTGTTTTCAGAGCCACTCTTTGCAGTGGGTCTCACCCGAAACGCTAAAGCCGGGGACACGGCAGGCCCTGTGAAAGAGTAAGACAGAACTTCCCCAAAATATAAAACACAAATCAGGGTGGAATCTCAACAAGCCAGGTTTATTTTGATGCCTGCAGTGATGGTTGTGTCTCGCACGGGCACTGCAAAATAGGGTAGCGCCCCCTGATGCCTTCCAGATGTGTTGCATTACAGTTCCCAGAGGTTCAACCTGAACAGCTTCCTGACCCCGCTGTGGGTTCTCTCTCCAGCAAGGGGAAATTTTACCCCACCGGCCCTTGCAAGAAGATCGCCCAGCGCTGAGCTCGACCGGCTCCAATTACTCTCTGCCCAAATGTCTCTTTGCTGCTAAGGATAGTATTTCTGCCCACCGCTGTTTTGTTTCCATGTTGCTTAGTGATGATTAAAATATCTGAACAAGATTGGAAGGGGAAGGAAAAGGCCAGGGGAAGGGAATTGGGTGGGGTCCCGTGGCAAAATTATCCAGACAGCAACGTCTGGATAATTATTATCCAGACAGCAGGGATGGATGGAGGCCAAGAGGAAAATTTCAGCTTAAGGAACATTCTTATTTTTTTTTGAATTGGCCTTTTTAGGTGAAGAAACATGAATCTGTAATCTCACAATGCTGACGGTAAGGATTAGTGGATTAGAAGGGACTTAGAGCAGTGACCGAGCCAAGAGAAGCAGGACTATAAATATAAAATTATTTTTATCATCATTATTGGTTATTTATTCAATGGCTGTAGCTGCCCGCCTCACATTTCTGACTCTGGGGGGCTTCCAATTAAAGCATAAACAATGCCAACAAACCAAAAAATAAAACAACCGTACAAGCGATGCCACACGTGAAAATGCCAGCCGGTTTGACACATTTGTTCACGCCTATTCAAATCTATTAAATATACCCCACTTTTAAAAAATGAAATATATTAAACTAAAGCCATAGATGCATAAAATAGAAGATATTAAAATAAAGTAAAATACACCCCACCTTTGTCTTACAGAAGCATTCAGGCTGCTTAGAAGAGTAATGTAAAACGCACTAAAATCCCCTTTGATTCTCTTCTCCAGAGCCCCTGAAAATAAGTTTGTTCAGAAAAATGTTCAAGTGGTGGGTGTCTCTCGAAAAGAAAGGTTTCCCACTGTTAGGGTGTGGGTTATTCCTGGCCATGATTAACTACATGAAATTTGCTATTTCAACCTCCCATTGTTCACGTTTGTCTCTATTGCAACTCATTTCCTCTGGCAGAATCTACAAAGCTAAACGTTTTTCAGGCAAAGGTGGTCTGAGTGTCAACACTGTTTGCTGAATGGTCTACCATACCCAGAATGTCAACATGTAGTTTGCTCCATAACCATTACAAAAGTCTTTTAAACTCCTGGAGCGGCTTTACAGCTTTAAAGTAGCTCGTTTGGACAGCAAAAGTATTAGAGAATGAGAAATTTGCTACACGTTAAATGCGTAAAGAGGTAAAACAGCTAATCTTGGTTTCTTTACAAGTGTGGTGAAGCTGAATATGTCACTTAATGTAACGGGAAGCAAGCAACTATTTTCAGATTTATGAGTCCCAGATAATGCTTTTTCAATACTTTGGCCGAGTCAAGTAACAATACAACCAACGGTGTCCATGGGGAGGAGGGGTCAATAAAGTCAAGATGGTGGCTTCAGTTGCAGCCTCCATCTTGAATTCTTTGACACACTCTGCCCCCACAGATGCCCCTGCACACAACCTAGATTAACAAAACATGATGGTTGGATTCCCCAACATCCATATTGTGATGGTCTTGTGCACACAAAATGCTGAGACCAGAGGTGGGTTCCCACAACTCACTGAACCATCCATTAGCCAGTGCAATTTGGACTAACATTGTGTGAACCAGCCAATGAGTTCTGGGATCAAGTATGGTCTGAACCTGGTGCTCCCCACCCAAATCCTTCAACCAATATGTGTCTGTAAGACTTGATTGCCTGATCTTTTGCTCTAGAGCAGTGTTTCTCAACCTCAGCAACTTTAAGATGTGTGGACTTCAACTCCCATGGACTTCAACTCTCCTGGCTGGCTGGAGGATTCTGGGAGTTGAAGTCCACACATCTTGTTGCTAAGGCTCAGAAACACTGCTCTAGAAATATGTGTGGGGAACAAAAGGAAGGAGATGGGAAAATCCTGGCATCCCCTTAAAATAGGATTGCATGGATTGAACAGCCCCAGTCAGGATGTGTAACCCTTTTTCTACTGTATTCCATCAGGAATAATCTGTTGGGAGATGTAAGCAGATGGGTCTAGGACCCAGAATGAGTGGGGACACCCTCTCTCTCCCTGATAATGTCTTTTCTTTTTTTCGCGCCCATCCAAGACAGCTGCAGGCCAGGTGGCGTAACTTGTGCCAGAGTTCTGAAATCATCTCTTGCAGAAGGATTACGGAACTGAGATTAGCCTGCAGGAAAGCGGATCGAGTGTGGGAGAGTGGTCAGGGAGTTGGGCAAGGGCCAGGCACACTTGGGCTGAGGCCCACCCTCAGCCGTGGCCAGCCCTTCCTTGACTTTGGGCCACTCCCTCCCTTTCAGCACAACCTACCCCACAGGGTTGCCGTTATGAAGAAAAAGTGCCAGAGAGAGTTCTAGGCAGGTTCTCTTCAGCTCCAGGAGGAAAGGGGAGTGCATCAGGTAGAAATGAATAATCAGTGTGGCCTGGCCCTGGTCAAGCCCAGGACACAGCTTCTTTTCTTCTCCAAGCATCCTAAACCCTGGTTTCTTGGCATCAGCCCTGCCTTCCGCACCTAGTTTGGCAAACAGGAGTCCCATCTTGGCACCTGAGCTACAAGTTTTGCAGAAAATGGGACTCTGAAAGTTAGCCTTGTTTGCACACCCCTGCAGACCAGAAATCCAAGAAGTGCTTTGCAGCTCCAGGAGCTGGAAGGTTGGTCCAGGATGAAGCTGAGACTAGTAAAGCTTGGACTAACCAGGCGTTTCCTTTCTGTCTTTTCTCCCCCAGACCGTAGTCTTCAACTTAGTCCTTGGGAGAGTAGCATCGTCGACCGGCTGATGACACCCACGCTTTCCTTCTTGGCACGTAGCAGGAGTGCTGTGACCCTGGCCGGCAACGGCAAGGAACAGGGTGAGCGAAAATGCTACCCGGGGGAGGGCAGGATGGTTCCACCAACATCTGCAGCAAACCACGATGATGCCAAAAAAATGACGCGTGTGCAATTGCACCAGGCAAACACTGCCGTTGCCTCCTGAAGTTGATTCACTGGTCGTAGCTTGCATTCTGTGAACTCAGCCATTGCATTTATGAACCAGGGTTTATGGTTTAGCATATCATGTTTGGCTGGTTGAATAAACCATGGTTAACACAAAGGTTAACTAGCCTTTGTTTCCTGCTCTTATGCAGCTTTCCCCAAATTTCACCCTCCAATACGTCACTCCCACTTTTATGAAGAGTCTTTTTAACCATAAACAGGAACTCTTTCATTATTTTTAGCTTGATGGCTGCAGTCCTACAAAGCTTAACCCGGTTCATAACAAACCTAGCACTTGCATTCATCCTGTTTGCTAAACTTGATTATATTTTATCTTGGTTTATTTTTCTGGTTGAGTTTCTTGTGTGAATGCAGGCCTTTGGGTTAGGTTGGCATATTGGGCAAAAAAAGAAAATGGATTGTTTCCACAACCCGGTGAAGTTTGTTCTGTGGACACGTTCATTAGCCTGAAAGAATGGGTACCATTTTTATATTTTCATCAATTTGTAAGTTTTGCTTGCTTATGGAATTTAGTCCTTCCCGAAAGAAAGAGTGAGAATTGGCCTAAAAAAAGAGGAGATAATGTTGCAAGAAAACAACAGTCCAGAGATCAGCAAAATGTCTCTTATTTTTTTGTGACCAATTATTTAGTCACAACTATTTAGTGCAATTATACCACTCAAGAGCATAGCAGTTTTTTGGAAAACAGAAAAAGATCCAGAGTTGTCCCAATGGAAATGTTCCTCTGGTTCACAAGTTGGTCATAAACCAGTTTTCAAAATACCTTTATAGGAAGGGAGAAATGAAATCCAAATTACATGAGAATCTGTTGTTTAACATTTTTTTTTTTTTTTGGTCTACTGCTATATCTTTATCCATGGCCTGTCTTTCCAAGATGCTAAACTCCAATGCCCTTCATCCCCATCAAGCACAGCCAAGAACTGGCTGGGAATGAAAGGGGTTGATGTCAAATACAAGGACAACAGGTTGGAAAGGCTGATCAGCGTGGGATTTGAGGAACCCCAACATAGCACATTGCAAGAATGATATAATCATTGTATAAACCTTGTTGCGTTCCAGGGTACTAGGGCAACAATTCCCAGAATGCCTAGCTCATATACTGGGGGAATTCTGGGTATTAGAGCTCCAACAGAAATAGAAAGCACAACATTATGGCAGGCCACCTTTTGTGTAGAGCCAGGACTTGAATTTTATTCCCAGACTGAACCTCTTGTATTGTTAGACTACCAAAAAGAATCAGTCCTTCTCTTTTCATTGACCCCCAGCAGTACCCGTGTGCCCCCGCTCAGCTTCTGCCAGCCCTGTAAGCCCCTGCAAAAACCAACGTTTACACCATCGTTGTGCGGAGCGACGGCGGCCAGCAACCAGCAGCCCCGATGTAACACCCCGGTGTAAGCCTCAGTCCTCTCCTGTAAGTTGCTATGAAATGTTTTTCACCATCCCAGCCTTTTAAATCAGTGTTTCTCAAACGCGGCAACTTTAAGATATGTGGGCTTCAACTCCCGGAATTCTTAAAGTTGCTGCATTTGAGAAACACTGCTTTAGATTCACATCCATATTCCCCCAAAGTTTCCTCTCTCCTGTTAGAAGCAACGGAGGCTAGTGGATGGGATTGCAAGGTGCTCCTGATGGTCTTGAGCATTGCAGTAGCTCAGCTTTCCCAAACAAATTGTGTGGGTCTACATTTCCTTTCATTTTCAATCTGCCTGTTGGGATGAGGAGAATTATATTCCAATACCTTGGGAGGCCAGCAATTTGGAGAAATTGCCAGAGACGTTTCATCTGATGGGAAATGAAAATCATCTTCTCAGTGGCTGTTTTCCAGGGTTCTCTTCATTCCTGGGGCTCTCAGCCCAACGATAGATAGTTTTCTTCCTAAATTAAACCTGAGCCCTGCCCTCTTAGGCGGAATGTCTGTGCTCCAGACCTGCAGTATGGGGGTGGGAGAGAGACACCGATCAGCCAGATGCTACATCCCAGCTTTACATGTTCAAACATGCTTCTGCTGTTGCCTGGAGGTATAGATGAAAACCAAATAGCTTTCAGTTGCTAAGCAACTGGATAGACAGACACACACACAAAGGTTGTCCCAAGTTTTGAAGCTGGGCTGAACTGCAGCCGAGCAGAGAGCATTCAAGAAGAAATGTGCAGTCCTGTGATTTGGGATCTGGGGAACCCATGGGCGGAGACCTAAAGCCAAATTTGTATGAGCCACCAGGCTTCACTTCCATCACCTTCTTGAGTCTATAAACCTGTTGTATCACCATTTTCCATCTTTACTGGGCACAAGGAGTGGCCATCTTGATAGATTTCAGCAGGATTGCAATGGGTTGGTGTCCAGCGGGGAGTGTTCTGGGCATCTAACTTGGAACATCTGGATAGCTCAGTATTATTTCTACGGATTCAATTTAACAAGTGTTCAAGTCCAAGTTTTTCCAGCTTAGCCCTCTCTCTGGAAATCCTGGTTTCTGAGATTGTCTGCACGCCAGGCCACTCTTGGGCACCTTTGCTACAGGCTTTCCAATGCATCTTCCCCTAGTTGCATGACAGAAGAAAGGTGGGAAGGTGAGAAAATAAAGAAGGACCATTCTGAGTAACATCAGGAGCCTCCTTTTCACAAAAATTGCCTTTGGGAACTCCACCAGTCAAGGGCCGAAGTTCTTGCCAGGAGTGCACCCAACTACTTCCCTGCTGCAGATGAAAGGAGGGACCTGCAGATGTGCTGGGACTGCAAATCCCAGAATTCCTTGCCTTCAGCCATTCCAGCTCAAAATTCTGCTGTTGCGGGGTCATTTCTCCAGAGGTTCCTGTTAGGGGGAGGAATTTACAAGGTGCAAAACTGGGATGGAATTCCTTGGGGCGGCTCCAGTCACATATCAGCATTTGGTGCAGTAGTAATGCCCAAGGTGGTCTAAAAAGCCTTGCCCTTTCTAACAAAGTGGTCCCAAGAATTTGCTCTTCAACCAATGTTTCTCAACCTTGGCAACTTGAAGATGGGTAGACTTCAACTCGG